TATTTTTTTCTATTGTGATATGCAAAGTTATTCCTTACATTTACAGATATAACCTTAAACCTCGTAATAACGCTAAAATAATTTAGGACACAATGAACAGGTTTCCAGTCGACTGTGCGGCGTCCACGTCCGGGCATAGTACTCGCATGGGGGCTCCGCCAGAAAAATTTAAATTTTACAGCTTGAGTTTCGGAGTCGTTGCCGGGCCACGTTGCTCTCTCTCTCTCTCTCTCTCTCTCTCTCTCTCTCCCTCCCTCCCTCTTTCTCACTCTCCCCTAGCCCCCTCTCTCCCTCTCTCTTTCTTCACAGCATCGTATCAAGGGAAGAGAAATCCGCGCGGAATCCCTGGAGGCGTTATATGCAACTGGGCCGTGCCCCAACGGTACCCCAGAGTCGACCAGCCGTCCCCCTCCCGTGCGTGTATACGCGTCCGAACAAAAGGAGGGAAAAAAGTTTCAGAATAATTTTTCTCTGCTTTAACATACAGTTATATTAGGACGGAAGGCAGCGGGAGAAAGAAAGAATGAGAGAGAGAGAGAGAGAGAGAACTAAAGTAAATTCATTTTCGTGGAATAGTCACCGCACAAATGGAACAATATTTTTCCTTCGTTTCGCTTCTTCCGCCTCTAGCTGGTGAAATGACCCACGCGGAACCGTGAGTTACGTGACACCGGGTATACGTGCACTCGGGACGGGCACCCACGCTGGTCACGTTAAAATCACCGACACGAACCTCATCGGTACTGTTTCGTGCAACAAAAATTCTGTGCCACACTTCTTCTACTGTTGTGCGGCAGAATTGATATTTTAATGTAATTTGGTTTCAGACTCGATACGGTAAACAATAAATCACGTGATAAAAGTGCACAGTAGACAGCCGCAGTTTCGAAATAATAATTGAAACGTTATTGCACTTGCAACTGCACAAGATCTCTCGATACTAACACGTGTCACAAAAATCAAATTATTGACAAGATTTTACCGTGACATAATTTAATTTTATTACAGATAAATAATAATAATAATTAAATAAAAATTTAATTATAGATTCATACGAGTGAACTGCGGATCTAAGTGTGAAATACAAATTGTCTCACTGGTTTGTAAGAAACAAAAATGAAATAAAAATGTGTTACTACTGTTGCCAATTTTAATAAATTGATGAGTTAATTTATCATAAATTGATAAACTTTCTGAGTTTACATTTTGGTATTTATCCAGTTATTTTCATCACAAATGCATAAAATCCACAGCCTACTTACGAGGATTTGATTCTAAGTAACTTTATGTTAATAGAAAGATAATCATTACTGTGTAGAATATCATTATTATTTATTCTGTTTCTTAATCTCAAGATTATATCATCCAAAATTTTACAAACATTAAAGTCTCTTTAAATAGACCGATCTTTATTTATCTCCTGAAATGTAACATCAATGCATTCCATCATGGATCATATCGCGATCTTGGAATGACCTTGAGCTGTACGTTTCATGAATGACAAGGAGAATTAAATTTTGTTTAATTTTTTAAAAACTCTGCTAATAAATTTGTTAATATATTGTTGCGAATTTTATTTACAATATATATAGTATATTAATTATATGATATAGTTATATGTATATATGTATATATATAATAATGTATAATATATAATATATATTAAATATTATATTATATAATAATATATTATATAATAGCTGTCTCTTATACACATCTAGATGTGTATAAGAGACAGGTATATATGTATATATATAATAATGTATAATATATAATATATATTAAATATTATATTATTATATAATATAATATTATATAATATATTATATAATAATATAATATTTAATATATATTATATATTATACATTATTATATATATATATATAAATAAAAAATTTATTAACACAACTCGATACAATTATATCTTAGATCTTTCAGAAGTGGGATGTTGCTCGTTCGACGGTCCGATCACGACTCTTCGATTGCCCGTTGGTAACACTCTTCCGTGGCAACCCTAATCTTCTATTATTCTTTAAGGAGTTGTTCACAACAGGGCAGTTTCACATTACAGCGACTTGATTTGGACAAGTCGCCCTAACAATATCATTTTAAATTTTGCTGTATTTTTATAGACGATCCGACTGCAGGGTATCATTTTCGTTTGATCAGCACTTTCGTCTTCGGATCGGAGAGCACCGTACCCGCAGCACCTGCTGCTGAACGATGGCCAAAAGAGTAAGTTATGGGTGAATCTTTCATCCCGGGTGACTGCGGGACATTTTTTTTCGTAGATTCAATCGGATCGCGCGCTTTGTTTCGTCGCCGACAGATTGAACGTGTATAGTTGCGCTGTTTGCTCGGTGATATTGATTCTGGACGGAACTATCAATCCTGGTTTTCCCGTTCGTGTCGCCCAAGATTCGAGCGCCGCTCGAGTTACGAAGAAACGCGTTACGAGCTGTTCACCGAGTCTGCTCCGAGAGCATGACATAGGCGAAATTGAAGTTCCCAAGGATAGTGAGTGAAGTACTTCTTTACGATTAGAATAGGGTCGCTATTCCGGTGCTTCTCGGAACGATCGACATTTGCGTGTCCCCCAGTTTTAACGGTTACGACCGGGCCGCAGTCTATGTGCGCTTACTGTATGCTGGTATGCAAAGTAGGATAAGATAGAAACCTTGATATATCATATCATATATTATATGATATATTATCATATAATATATATATTTATATATTATCATATTATATGATATATCATATCATATATTCCTTGATATATGATATATCATATCATATATTCCTTGATATACCATACATCATATATTGATATATCATATCATATATTTCTTGATATATCATATATCATATATTGATATATCATATCATATATTCCTTGATATATCATACATCATATATCATATATTGATATATCATATCATATATTCCTTGATATATCATACATCATATATTGATATATCATATCATATATTCCTTGATATATCATATATCATATATTGATATATCATATCATATATTCCTTGATATATCATATATCATATATCATATATTGATATATCATATCATATATTCCTTGATATATCATACATCATATATTGATATATCATATCATATATTCCTTGATATATCATATATCATATATTGATATATCATATATTCCTTTTATTCATTTAATTTCTCGATTCAATAGTCAATCTTATTTTAAGGCGATGTTGACGTCGCTTTCATTGTACAGCAATTTCTCCCGAAAATGCCAAATTTCGGGTCGCTGTGAATTTCCCTGTGCTAGTCCTACGCCTATATAATTTTCTGCAACGTCGGTGCTAAGAGTCGACAGAGTTCCCGGTCTGTTGAGTGTAAGTCAACTAAGAAAAACCGTGGAGTTACAAGGAACGTGGTGGGTACAGTAAATTCTCCCTAATTTCTGCCTCGTTTTTATAGTTGTTGAGAATCGATAACTATAAAAACGAGTTTCAAAGCTCGAATAATCGTATCTCCTCTTCCCAAATTGTCCATTTTTGTGCATAATCTAAGCGTCAATTAGGGAGAATTTACTGTACTAGGTACGTGACTGTCGAATCGTGGCTTGCGGCCTCCGAATTGTCTTCGAATCGCGGCAAAAAATTATAAATAAAAAATTTAAGTCATCGATTTTATTCTATTTCTATACTATGTATTCATATTAATGAATAGCGGCATGCTGGTCGCTGCCTTTTTTTGCCGACTGCCCCGAGTTTCTATAAAAACGAACCGCGAGGCTCGAAAAATCGCGACTTAGAATTCTCAGACCTGCCGGTCTCAATTCCAACCGCCAAACATTTCTGGGAGAAATTACTGTATTTCTCAGAACAAGTTTGTATTCAATCATCGGATCATCATGGCTAAATCGTGGATCCTCGTCCGAAATAAAATTGTTCTCCTTCGTTTTAAGAAACAACAGTTAAATAAAAATTGATTTCGCCTCGTAATAATGTTATCATATTGTAAATAACGTGACAGTTGTTTTAATTCTTCTAATGATTCAATTGTCTTGAATTTGATCTTCCAATAAGTCTTCGTAACTACGTCTTCATAAACAAGTAAAATCCGCATTCTAATCACGGATCATCCGGGTCTATTATAACCCATGTTAGACCATAAAATAAACGAAAAGCAGACTGTTGACTTAGAGAATTGACTAACGTCAATATGAGTATTGACTAACTATTGACTAACTATCTTCCAATAAGTCTTCATAACTACGTCTTCATAAACAAGTAAAATCCGCATTCTAATCACGGATCATCCGGGTCTATTATAACCCATGTTAGACCATAAAATAAACGAAAAGCAGACTGTAGGCTTAAATAATTGACTAACGTCAATATGAGTATTGACTAACTATTGACTATCTTCCAATAAGTCTTCATAACTATATCTTCATAAACAAGTAAAATCCGCATTCTAATCACGGATCATCCGGTTCCATTATAACCCATGTTAGACCATAAAATAAACGAAAAGCAGACTGTAGGCTTAGAGAATTGACTAACGTCAATATGAGTATTGACTAACTATCCAAATACAAATTCGAGAGTGTATCGAGTACTTTTTAATCGTGTTTCAAGTAATCGCTGAGCGTGTAACTTCGGACTAAACGAAATAAATGAGACGTTTATTTTGAAAGTGGCACGAGTCACTTTACCGTAATGAAAAGTGGTGATTTTTTAATGTTTACACGAAATTATTTATACGGAGAAAAATATCAGTATCCTGAGATAACAAATACAAGTAAATCTTCTCGAAAGTTAGCATCCATATTTTCAAACGTGTTAAAACGCGAACCCTTAAATATATCGACATAAAAACAAAATGACTTACGCCACTTTCAAAATAAGCGGCTCAAATGTGTCTTCTCTACTTCGTGCCAGAAATTGACATTGGAAGACCAAGGTAAGTCCTGGAACGATTCGGTGGAATAGGTGGGGCGTTCGGCTTACCTAAGTCATAGCAGTGGCACCGTGTCAGGGACGAGAGAAGAAAAACGCCGATTAGAAGTCCTCGAAGGGAGCCTGGCACTGGTCTGTGTACGAGGACCGGCATGTTACTGGTGACCTGGGCCATCGGCACGCCGACAACTTGCTCCTCCTCATCACTAACTGTCGACAATCCTGACCGCATCGGTCATCAAGCACGTTCCTAGCATCGTGATGGCCGCAAGGTGGTGAGTGTTCTCGCCGATATCCTGTACATAGAGTAATCCACGTTAATCCTCGACAGACGTCTAGGAAACGTCGCTGATAGACAGTCTCAATTGGTCCCTCATAGAAATCACATCGATGGGTACAAGTCGGACGTCAACGCGAACGTGAGATAAAAATTCGACGCGATCAGTATTTTAAAAACTTCGAAAAAACATTTGAATCTTTACATATGCTCGTGGAAATTGTGTATGAAAAGATTTCATTACGTTTGTTTGTTTACTTTAGACTAATAAACAGATACAGGTCTTTTCGCGTTATTTTATAAATAGGATTGTAAAAACTTTAACAGCGAAATAAAAATATAATTTCATTCTATTCTCATAAACTGTTTTTTTTTTTAAATTGAAAGTATTCTTAAGTATTATAATAACACGTTTGAAATTTCTATTCGTTTCATGAGACAATTCTTTCTCGAAATATCGCATCTGCGGAACATGTTTTAAATCAGTTTTCCGATATTTTGATTGTACCACCAAGAAGCAATTAACATTGTCGACTGTCTTTCACTGAAACGGTGCAAATAAATTCGATGCGATAATATATAATAATGCAAATCATTTGATTCGAACAGATCTGCAGATCGGAAGACTCGAAACGAGTTTCCCTCAAGCATCTTCGGAAGTCCAAGAAACGCAAAACCATTTTTCCCAAATGCGATTTCCGTGAAGGAATCGTTTTATATATGGTTAGCGCAATAATATAGTTAACAACAATATATAATAGTGCAAATCATTTGATTCAAACAGATCTGTAGATCGGAAGACTAACAACAATATATAATAGTGCAAATCATTTGATTCAAACAGATCTGCAGATCGGAAGACTCGAAACGAGATTCCCTCAAGCATTCTCGGAAGTCCAAAGAACGCAAGACCATTTCCCAAATGCGATTTCCGTGAAGGAATCGTTTTATATATGGTTAGCGCAATAATATAGTTAGCAATAATATATAATAATGCAAATCATTTGATTCGAACAGATCTGTAAATCGGAAGATTCGAAACGAGTTTCCCTCAAGCATTCCCGGAAGTCCAAGAAACGCAAGACCATTTCCCAAATGCGATTTCCGTGAAGGAATCGTTTTCTATATGGTTAGCGCACGTCCCGATAGAAACGGCGTCCGAAAGTCGGAGCATTTGCAGTTCATTTGCTTTCTAGGATATTCCACGTTAACGCGATTAGCTAGGAATCCTCCGTAGAAGACACTGAATTTTGTAACCGGATATTAGCCCGGAATCATGGCGAAAGCCGACGCGACGCGGCAGCGGCAGCGCGAAGCGTCGGCTGGAGTCTGGCAAAGCGGAGCCGAATGCATTTTTCCTTTGCCGCCGACGATTCTCGGAGCAGAAAATTAAAAATGCAAAGGAGCCCGATGGCGTAATTAGCGCCGCGTTCGCGTCGTCTCGGTCACGTGTGCTCGCCGATTCCTCGAGCGGAATCTCACCCGAGACTCGCGCGAATATTGCATCGACGCCGCGCCGGTTGCGTCGAATATAGAATTTTAATTACAGCCACGGTTATTAATGAACGCCCGGAGTGAAAGCGCTAAGAGACCGGGCCGCAGCGATCGCTGGATCACGGCTTGCAAATTTCTGCAGCCGCACGCGGTGATAGATGGGCAAACGGCATCGCGAACATACCTCGTGCGTTCCCGCTGCGGCTACAACACTCCGCCGTGTTTGATCTAACCGTTCCGTCGTTTCTGCCGCGTTAGGACAAACAATTTTTTTGTTCACACGGCTTCCGGATCCACACGATCCGCACACTCGAGAATTCGCGGCGGCTAAACGCTCGATTTAAACCAAGGGAATGTTTAAAGTTCGTTGCGAGATCTTGCAGTGTTGCGGAAACTGATGATAGGTTGCTGTTCAGCGAATTAAAATACGTGGATATGGCAATGTGGGGGAATCTGGTGGGTATACAGGGTGATTCATGAAAGAGTAACAAGCTATATCCTCGTTTTGAATAATGTCAAATTTCATTTCATAATATGAAATAAATAGTTTTCCCGGAGGTGGACGCGTAAAGGTCGTGTAGAGATCATCGATGCTTTTTTAAATGGATATTTACATTTTCTTTATATATACTCTATAATATATAATATACTAATTAATAATTTAATTAGTGTAAGAAAGTGTTAGGGTAACATTATCGAAGAATTTAATACTTCGAATAATTTTTCGAAAAAATGTCTTTATCGCGAAGCCAATACTCAAATGCTTCATTGCAACGCTATGAAAACATTCGTCCCATTGCAAGCTCATGAATGTTAGAAGAATAGTGTCTAGTCTCTACTACTCTAATCTCTGAATTAAACTTACAACTATATAGTTCTTTGTGTGGAAAATAGAGGTTTTCTAAGGCAATTGTGCAAAACAGAAGACAGCTGTATAAGTATTATAAAAATAATAAGATAAGATAAGAATGTAATATAACATTATTAAATTCTTTTAATGCAAACAAGACACGTTCTGTCGAATCCATAAAATCCGTTGTCTCACGATGTCTACAGTCTTGCTTAACTCGAAATTTACAAGTAACAGATTTCACGTCTTCTATGCTAAGAAAATGTCTGAATCCAAACTCGACAATTTCCATATTCATAGACGAACATATTTACTTGAAGATCGGACGTACTAAAAATAATTAGCTTTTCTTCCGTACCTCTTATTTCCATTTCGACACAACTGAATAAAATGATACATCATTTACGATTAATATCAATTATCCGTGCATTTTCGCAGCTCGGCCTGTTCCCCACAGCACGATTTCTCGTGGATTCGTAAGCTTAACTTACGGTATTCGTTCGAAACTCCTAGGTATTCCATCCACGAGGCTCTAGACAACAAGTTTCCGGACTATGTACAAACACGTATGAGCGTACCAGGGCAGCAAGAACGGCGGCAAGCACGCACGACAAAGACGTAAACGCTAAACAATACGGCTGTAGCCTAAGGACAAGAAATAATTAGTCGCCCGTGCAACTTTAATCTACATTACGGCGGCATTGAAACGGTGTACGATGAATGAAATTTCGCCCCGCCTAATGCAGATTTAACTTGTGCCAACAATTAAAACGATTCCAACTAGTCGCAGGTCCTTTGAGTATATTCTTAAATTAGTTTCGTACTCCGGTAGATAACCGAAATTTTCCACAAGCTTATCCTCTTGTGTTCCCAAAACAATTAGGCTTTCCTTAGAAGTTTGTAAATTCTAATTTATCGATTCGAAGAGATTAAAAAATATTCAGTGGAATATTCGAACATTATTTATTAAATAGTACGCGGAACGAGAGAGGCTTGTGAAATTTAATAGAGCGGTTTATAGCACCGGAAGGTGTAATAAGTAGAATAGTTACGCCGATGGTCAGACATACTGATCGGGCATACAAAATAATTATAGAAATATATTGCAACTATACGATAACTACTTTTTAAGTAGCTAAATGTTTTTGAACGAGTCTAATTTTGTTTAATAAAAGTTTATATTATTTGCGAAACATACTCGGTGTTCCTGAAATGCTAATCTCTGATTCGATAAAAAATTGTTCGCAAATCACTATGAAATTAATATAAAGAGACACGTGTATCATAACTTATGAGTAGATTTCTTTAACTTGACGATTAATTTTACTTTCAATGACTAAGTTGTTAGCCGTATAAAACATGAATACACGTCGCGTTGTATCCCGACCGACGGAAAAATTCTCGAACAAAATGTCCCGGTGATATGTTCGTGTTCGTTCAGTAATTTGCGTCGCTTTTTTCGGCGTTCCGGACTGTACAGAATTTTCGTAACGATTGCACCGTGATCTACCAGATGCACTCTATACGTGACGGCAAAGTTCAACGCCGTTCAAGCGGGAAGAAGGCGTCTCTGTTTTCCGTGTAACGTCTCAAGGATGCTGGGTCGGCCGCGTGTAGCATCTGACGTATAGCTATAGAATACGAAGACGCTCGTAAAGCCGTCAGAAACAAGTGTTACGCCCTGTATTGAGGTTGTAAGATATTGCGGTATGCATGTTCTGGAACCTATAATGGAAGTTTCGGATCGAACGCTTTGAATAGCCGATCACGTGGGCCGCTTGCAGAAAATTACATTGCACGTCCCGTCGTTCGACGGAACTGACCTTCGCAAATCCGTACCACGTGGAATGAACACGAGATTTTCGTTAATGGAAATCACACAACGGGGCGGCACGTTATCGTGGATGCTTCGGTCCGAGAGAATCATGCTTTCATATCGCGGCGTGTTTCTATACGTAGCATGCTTAGGAGAGGGTCAAGAAATGTCCATAGAACTTTAAACAATGCTCCTTTATAATTTTTTTATATTTCATTTATGTATTGGTAGGTACTCAAATGAAATATAAAAACATTATAATATAAGATACTGTTATATAATATACATTTATGTATTAGTAGGTACTTAAATGTGTTATACAACAGTATCTTATAAATAAATATACGTCGAACAAAGAAATAATACTCGTGTAGGGTAACGAATATGATTGACTTACTATAATTGACAAGAATATCTACATACCGACCAAAACGATGACAGAACTTTTCGAAACATGTTACAGCTTTTTCTCGAAGACAACAAGTGTACAATATTGTTGACTATTATAGTTTCCATTACACAATGTCATTAACCTGATATAGCTTTTCAATAACTGTTCAACCCAATAATACCTCTACCACGAGAACAATAAAATAAATAAATATGAAAGCTTGGCAAATTAAGAACTACTTGGCGAAACGTGCAGCACGTCGAGCGCGAAGACAATGGTCCGTATTTTCCTTGGGCCCCTTCCTTGTCCATGCTTTCATTTATGAAAGCATGAGAAACAGAATGTTTCAAAAATAAATTCTGCGGTCTGATGCTAGCTACAGCCTGCAATTGTTAAAATATACTATAATTGACAAGAATATCTACACACCGACCAAAACGATGACAGAACTTTTCGAAACATATTACA